TTCAGTTTGGCATATAACTGATAAACCCGTAAGTTCATGCTGGACACAGGAAGTTGTCCATCAGCCATTTTAAAATGGCAGCTAATTCAGAACCATGTGTTGCTTACATTATTATCAAAAACTTTGAAGATTATGAGCAAATAAACTTGTTCTGTTTCTCTCATAACATTGATCACCATAATGATTACAATCACACAGAAAGATACTTCAAGACTTATTTCTTCACTTTTAAAGATGTCATTAATGTTTCAAGGTTTGCTAGAAGAATGAATATTAAAACAAAGTTAATCAACATTGTTACATAAGTGAATATAATTCCTTGAAGAAGGCAAGTATATTCAAGTTTACAAAACTATTGATATTTACCCCTCTTATATGCACCTGAAAATGGGTGAATATGTTTCTGCATGCTCTTGTCTTTTTCAAATATAACCTAGAATCTAAGCTTTGCCTGACAACATTTAGTATACTCATTTTTCTTTTGTGAATGCAAAACTTACATGATTGATATTTTGAAAATTAAAAAAAACTATAAAAATAATAATATCATTATTTACAAGCTTTTTTTATCCAGTATTTCTCACTACTTATTACTATTTATTACTTTGAAAGAGCTTGTGCTTGCTAGGTGAAATGATAATTATGTCACAACAATCTTTTTTTGCTTGAGAATTTTTTGACTCTTTGTACAAAAGCCTATATAGCCAGTAAAGTACTGGGAACCAGTGTAAGAAATTAGGATTTGAACTAACTAGGCTGATCGGACGACCAGATTTGAATATACACTAGCCCAAAAGACATTTCACTAGCACGATTTATATTGCCTCTGAAAATACAGTAGCCTGGTCGGGCTTGTTACTGTGAAAAGTTGGTAGCCAGAGGAGAAATTTAGTAGTCTGGGGCTATCGGACTACTGCTAATTTCGAACACTGGGGAACTATTGGATATCTGATATAGATGGAAGGACATATTGTGGAAATGGAAGTTTGATATATTTAGAATATTATGATGTTTAAGGGTGTTTTTTTAAAGCAATAACAGAAGTACACAAAATAATTACGACAATCAAGACATGAATAGTCAAAATACCGTAAAATCCCGATTTAAGGCCCCCATCCACTTTTAGAAACCTTGTGTATAATTTAAACAAAGAAACGCTTTCACCATTAATGATTTTGTACAATGTAAATTTGACACTCTTAAAACCAAGTTAATTTGTGTTTTATTTCAGTTGAAGAATGGGGCTTAAGCGGAAAAAGAGAAACTTTTATCAGAAACAACTGAAGAAACAACGACTTCAAAAAAGTGTATGTTTTATTGCTTTACTTGTAAAAAAGGGAAAAATTTCATATTAGAATAGTTCTCTGTTTATCTGTAGATGTAAAGTCTGTAGTCATCAAGTCTCCTCAACGTCAAGTAATTGTTCACTATCATAAGTTAAATCAAAACCTAAATGCTCAATCCATGTGTATGTAGAAGGTAACCCAGTGATTTGGTCTGCACAAACTAGCCTTGAATTTAATGGAGAAATGATCTCTCCCTAAAAGAAAAATGGAGGAGTGAAGGTGCTAGGAATCTTGCTTTTTAAAACAAAAAGTAGGCAGAGGGAGCCTGATATCAACCGAATCTTGTCAGCATTATGAAATTTTATAGTGAAATGATTTTTGTAAATATTTTCAGAAATTCATTTGGATGAAAATCCGTGGTGTTAGTATATTTTGGCCAGTTAAAGTTGTGACGGAGACTTGTGATAGAATAGAAATTTTCATCAAATCAGACAATGCACAGTAAGTTATTGAAATTTGTGTTTTCAGTTTGGTCAAGCCAACTGCTTTTGCAGTTTGCTGTTTGTTTATTGTGTCTATTTGATACATAACACAGGGATCCAAGCTAACAGTCGCCCAGTTGCTAAATGTGAGTAAAAATTCCACTGGGTGAGTGAAAATGAAAAGTTAAATGGTCCAGGTGGCAACCTTAATCAGTGGCAGTAATCTTATCAACATCAGTTGTCATTTGTGTAGATAACATAAATCTGCTTAGTTATAAAAATGGAGCAATATCAGAATAACAACAAATAATTTTTTGATGCTGATATTTATGTTTACTGTTGATGCAGTTGTATTGATTATTTGTATGTGCAATAAGAGGAATTCATAAGCAAAATAATAAAAATTAGAAGAAATTTCCAAAGTTTATAGACAGGTACCCCTGTCAGGATCTTATATGTTATTATGGTAAACAAAATTATAGATTAAAATAAATACTTTAACAACTTATAATTATTCCATTACCTTAGTTAACGTTCATATTGTTGATCAAAAATCACACTCCCAAGACGTCATGGACATTTTCAGCAATAGTTTGTTGCATTTCAAACGTAATTACTTATATTTTGCCTAATGTAAAAAAAACTTGTTCTTTATGATAGGAACATAAAAAAATCTATAAAAACTTGTGGATATTAAGGAAAATAAAGAAATCAATAAATTATTGGCTCAATGACATTCTGTGATGTGACAATCAAGTCATTTATGTGTCAAAAAAAAAAATTGCAGGTTTGAAGTTAGAAAGCAAGAAAAAAACATACAACCATTCCAAGAGAATTTAGAGCGCCTTAAAGCACAAGGCATTGGTAAAGAAAGTTATAAGTTGCAGCTGTTTACTGCCAAGTTTAAAACAGTTTTGTTGCTTATTATGAGAAATGGCTAAAACAAGATATGAACTATTTTTAGCTCATCTAAACTTTTATATGATAAGGGTGGCCACAAGATTTTGGTAAAATGGGACTAATATGTTAAGAGTTAGTGCCCCTTGAATTACAAAAATGCTATTATTCAACAAGTTGATTCCATTTATACAGGAAGTGAATACCCAAAAATTCTTGGTCAGATTCAGTTATTGGCTAGATTTGGCCCAGAGCTATTGGCCCTTGATTGACAAAAATTACTAATTTTAGACTTGAAGAGAAAAGAAGAGGTATTACTGAGTTGGGTTGGGGTTTCCCTGTTGCCATCTGTAAACTTTAACATAGATCATTATTTATTTTATTACAAGGTGTATTGTCTTCATACTTGGACACAATTGGACAGAACAACCCTTTGGTCAAGAACTTTAAATATACAACTCTGAATCTTTACATTGAAGGTCAAATTATTGAATTTTGCTTTGTTTCAGTTAAAAGTGACTTTATCTTTGTTATTTAAGATACTTAGACACAATAATCTTTTGGCAAAAGCGTTAAAAAAGACGAAGCTCAAAGTGACCTTGACTGACCGATGGCCTTGACATTCAAGGTCAAAATATGATATTTTGTTGGATTTTTGCTTGGGACAAATCAACATGTTGTTTAATCTATGTACGTCCTTGACCTTGAAAAAACCTTGACCCTAAAGGTCAGGTTATTGAACTTTGCTTAAATAAGTGTAACTACGTTATTGATAGACATATTAGATTGATACTTTTACAAAACAACACAAATGGCAAGACCTCCATGTTACATAACATGTGCATGGCCATTACATTGAAATGACTTGGACCGAAAATTTATACAAAACAACACTTACAACAAAACCCACTAAACAACTTTTTTGTCACCTTGGTCTTGAAGTTGCTTTGAATGTCGAAGTCAAATAATTTAATTTTGACTGTTATTTATAGACAGGTTTGATTCATATTTTGACAAAGCATTAAAACCATCACATTTAGCAATTCAAATATGACTTTTGAACGACCTTCACCCAAAAACACTCATAAGTAAAAAAAAGTTTGAGCGTGGCCCTGGCTTGTTGTTGCCCTTGTTTAAAGATACAACAATGAAATTTGAATATTAATTAAAGTGAGTCTTTTTGTAGACAGCTTAATTCAAATCAGATTTTTACATTGTAATAGTATCTTGTTTTAGCCAAAAGTTTATCAGTTGTGAGAATTTAGTGCTTAAGAAAATCTCCAGGTAACAGAAATTTTGACTATCACCCCAATAGTTATTCTTATGGTTCTAATAAGGTGTCTGCTCATGCCTGAATAATGCATGGAGGGGCATTTGAGGTCTTCCTTCAGTAAAAGCTGAAGTATTTTAATTTGGTGGTGCAAAAAATTTTTTACAAAACAGCTATCTCCCATCCTCCCTCTGTCTGTCTATTATTATATTATTATTTACATATTTCTTTTAATTTTCATTAATTGGTATTTCACAAACTTTTAAGGATTTTTTTATACCACCGCATGCTACCTTATATTTATATGGTTAAAAAATTGAAAATCTTCTTCTCTGAATTGACAAAAACTAGAGGTTAAGTATTTTTCTCATGAAAAATATTGTCTAGTTAAACTATACCAAGATTGTTCAAATTATGGCCCTAGGGTCAGAATTGGCCCCGTACCGGGGTCATAGGTTAAATACGGTGACATAGCATTTTTCACAAACGCAATCTTGATAATTATTTTTTAAAGGTCAGGACTTGTGGGGGTGATCGTCCAAATTTCTGGGGAAGCACATCAGACTGTACAGTACTTGTGGATGCATAAATACAATTACACTTTTAAAAGGACAGAACTAGTGGGGTGATTGTCCAAATTTCTGGGGAGGCATTTCAGACTGTACTTGTGAGTTGCATATTAAAGAACAGTTTATGTTTTATAAACGGACAGGACTAGTGGGGTGATTGTCCAAATTTCTGGGGAGGCATTTCAGACTGTACTTGTGAGTTGCATATTAAAGAACAGTTTATATTTTATAAACGGACAGGACTAGTGGGGGTGATTGTCCAAATTTCTGGGGAGGCATTTCAGACTGTACTTGTGAGTTGCATATTAAAGAACAGTTTATATTTTATAAACGGACAGGACTAGTGGGGTGATTGTCCAAATTTCTGGGGAGGCATTTCAGACTGTACTTGTGAGTTGCATATTAAAGAACAGTTTATATTTTATAAACGGACAGAACTAGTGGGGTGATTGTCCAAATTTCTGGGGAGGCATTTCAGACTGTACTTGTGAGTTGCATATTAAAGAACAGTTTATATTTTATAAACGGACAGAACTAGTGGGGTGATTGTCCAAATTTCTGGGGAGGCATTTCAGACTGTACTTGTGAGTTGCATATTAAAGAACAGTTCATATTTTATAAAAGGACAGAACTAGTGGGGTGATTGTCCAAATTTCTGGGGAGGCATTTCAGACTGTACTTGTGAGTTGCATATTAAAGAACAGTTCATATTTTATAAAAGGACAGAACTAGTGGGGTGATTGTCCAAATTTCTGGGGAGGCATTTCAGACTGTACTTGTGAGTTGCATATTAAAGAACAGTTTATGTTTTATAAACGGTCAGGACTAGTGGGGGTGATTGTTAAAATTTGTGGGGAAACATAATTTATTGTATAGTTGCATATGACATGTTTGGCCAATTCCAAACTATATACATAAATGAGCACTTTTTTAGCTCGACTATACGAAGTATATGGAGAGCTGTCCTACTCGCCCCGGCGTCCGCGTCCAGATTTCAGATTAAAGTTTTGTTTGGTGCAGTAAAATATTTTTCACTATAACTTTATCATTTCTTAAGGTATCGACTTCAAACTTCAAATATATGTATATCAAGTATATATCAACCACATCTTATGTGACAAAGTTCATAACTCTAGCACCAATATTTTCAGATTTATCTCCCCTTGATCTTAGAATTTTCTTTAAAAAATATTATTTTTTACTGTAACTTATTTATTTCTAAAGGGATCAACTTCATACTTCAAATAAATGTACCTTATCATCATCCACATCTTATGTGACAAGGTTCATAACTCTAGCACCAATATTGCAAGAATTATCTCCCCATCAACTTAGATTTTTTTACTAGAAAATGTTATTTTTTTACTATAACTTTTTTAGTTTTAAAGGTATCTACCTCAAACTTCAAATAGTTATTCCTTATAATCAATTATATTTTATGTGACATTGTTCATAACTCTTGAAGTAATTTTTACAGATTTATTTCTCTTTGAACTTAGGATTTTCTTTAAAAAGTATTATAACTTCGTTACTTTTTAAGGTATCTACTTCAAACTTCAAATATATACTTCTTATCATTTACATGCCTGTTGTGTGACAAGGTTCATAACTCTAGCGTGACTATTTCTAGAATTATTTCCCTTGATCTTGGAATTTGATTTAACAAATGTTATTTTTTTACTATAACTTAATACATAATTATACATAATTGATTTTTCTTTTATAGTTTTGTCCTCCTTACTGTGTCCAGTATTTTATTAGTCGAGCTTGGCTGTCTCCTTTGGCTGTCTCCTGTGACAGCTCTTGTTATTTTAGCAGTATTTCTCATGTTTGATTTATATCAAAAGTACTGCCTTTCATTTTTATTTATACAATCCTATTTTTTAGGGCAGAATTCACTTTAAATATGATTTATTGAAAAGAAATAATGTCAATAAGTTTTAGTCAGAATAGTGTTGTTTTTCCTGTTTCAGTATGGCACTTTGAATGTAGTTAGATTCTTTTAAGTGGCATTTTACTTACATACATACTTTACTAAAATAACAAAATTTGGCTCTCTATCACTTCTTTAGAACTATACATTGCTGTAGCCTAAGGAAATACATTAATTTGTACATACTCAGGAGTGCGAATTATTTTTCACATTCACAGATGTTGATTATTTACTGTACAGATTGTTTAATGGGGAATTTTTGCTGAATCTTACATATTATTTTATCCATTTTCAGGATACCTGCAAGCCAAGGCCATGAAAGAAACAGAAAGGTGTTTTATGGAAGATATTGAATATGCTACTAATGAATCAGATGATGACTCTGTGGAAGATAAAACATGCTCAACAAATCCTACTGAAATAGAAAGTGAATCAGATGATGACTCTGTGGAAGATAAAACATGCTTAACAAATCCTACTGAAAAGGAAAGTGAATCAGATGATGACTCTGTGGAAGATAAAACATGCTTAACAAATCCTACTGAAAAGGAAAGTGAATCAGATGATGACTCTGTGGAAGATAAAACATGCTCAACAAATCCTACTGAAAAGGAAAGTGAATCAGATGATGACTCTGTGGAAGATAAAACATGCTTAACAAATCCTACTGAAAAGGAAAGTGAATCAGATGATGACTCTGTGGAAGATAAAACATGCTCAACAAATCCTACTGAAAAGGAAAGTGAATCAGATGATGACTCTGTGGAAGATAAAACATGCTTAACAAATCCTACTGAAAAGGAAAGTGAATCAGATGATGACTCTGTGGAAGATAAAACATGCTCAACAAATCCTACTGAAAAGGAAAGTGAATCAGATGATGACTCTGTGGAAGATAAAACATGCTTAACAAATCCTACTGAAAAGGAAAGTGAATCAGATGATGACTCTGTGGAAGATAAAACATGCTTAACAAATCCTACTGAAAAGGAAAGTGAATCAGATGATGACTCTGTGACAAATAAACAGTTCTTACCTTATCCTACAGAAGTGGAAAATAAATCAAATGATGACTCTGTGGAAGATAAAACATGCTTACCAAATCTTACTGAACAGGAAATTGAATCAGATGATGACTCTGTGACAGATAAAACTTTCTTACCTAATCATACAGAAGTGAAAAATAAATCAAATGATGACTCTGTGGCAGATAAAACATTCTTACCAAATCCTACTGAAAAGGAAAGTGAATCAGATGATGACTCTGTGGAATATAAAACATGCTTACCAAATCCTACTGAAGAGGAAAATAAATCAAATGATGACTCTGTGGAAGATAAAACATGCTTACCAAATCCTACTGAAGAGGAAAGTGAATCAGATGACTCTGTGACAGATAAAACTTTCTTACCTTATCCTACGGAAGTGGAAAATAAATCAAATGATGACTCTGTGGAATATAAAACATGCTTACCATATCCTACTGAAAAGGAAAGTGTATCAGATGATGACTCTGTGGCTGATAAAACTGTCTTACCTAATCCTGAGGAAGAAGAAAGTGAATCAGATGCTGACTCTGTGGCAGATAAAACTTTCTTACCTAATCCTGAGGAAGAGGAAAGTGAATCAGATGATGACTCTGTGGCAGATAAAACTTTCTTACCTAATCCTGAGGAAGAGGAAAGTGAATCAGATGATGACTCTGTGGCAGATAAAACTTTCATACCTAATCCTGAGGAAGAAGAAAGTGAATCAGATGATGACTCTGTGGCAGATAAAACTTTCTTACCTAATCCTGAGGAAGAGGAAAGTGAATCAGATGATGACTCTGTGGCAGATAAAACTTTCTTACCTAATCCTGAGGAAGAGGAAAGTGAATCAGATTATGACTCTGTGGCAGATAAATCATGCTTTCCAAAGACAGATGAACATGCTAGTGATTCTGCTGAAACAGATGGAGAAATGAGTGATATTTTCCCTATGTTATCAGAAAAGAGTAGTTGCTTTTCTTCTAGTATACCCCAGCACCAAGAAGACTCTGAAAGTGAAAGTGAACGTTTGGATGAGGACAGTATTTTACGAGATGTCAATCACCCAAACATTTATATTAAAAGAGTTTTGAAAAATGACATGTCAAAGACTGGAACAATAAAGAAACATGAGAGGGTATATAATAGCTATCAGTACTGCGGTGCATGTAAACTTATGACATCTAATTTAGCCCAACACATAAGTAGGCATATAAAAAGCAGCAATCATCCACATGCTTCAGACCGGGAAATTCAAGCTATCAGATCAGAACAGAATGAAATAGAAAAGAAGAGGTTGTTGAAGCTTCTTCGCGCAAGGTACAACCATGAGTCTAATATGAAAACAAAGGAAAAAGGAAAAGGAGTCATCATTTTGGAACGTAGACCAACTACTGACTTTAATGTAAACAAATATGGTCCTTGCCCCCAATGCCTGTTGTGGGTTGCAAAAAAATTGCTGAAAAAGCACCAGAAGAAATGCATCAACAGAAAAACCAATGCTTACCTCAGTATTGGAGACTTGACAACACAATCTGAATGTCTGGCAAAGGATTTGCTACCAATTGCAAGTAAAAGGCTTGTTAAAGAAGTGTTTAGTAAGATGACTTCTGATGAAGTTGGAAAAACTGTAAAAGGTGATCAATTAATTGTTCAGTTGGGGAACCAATGGCTCGAAAAAAATGTTGGAAATGTTCTGAAGCGAGGCATCTACACATCTCAAATCATGCGCCTTGTTGGACGTTTTCTTTTAAACTTGAGAAAAATTTGTCCACAGTCAAATATTCAAGAACCTTCCTTATGGCAGTACCTTAAACCAGAGTATTTCAACGATATTGTGAATGCGACGGTTCTCACAGCATCTCCAATATCTGATGAAGATGATAGTCTGCAAGCCCCAAGCAATGCGATTAAATTGGGATACGACTTAAAAAGACTATTGAATGGAAAAATCGGTCTGGCTATCATGGACCATGATGAACAGAGTCAATCTGATGCAGGAAAGGTACTGAAACTCATGGATATTTACTGGGGGTCAAGGGTCACAAAGGCAGCAAGAGTCCTACTGGATGAAAGAAGATATTATGCAGAGAAGCACTTGCCACATCCTGAAGATATCCTAAAACTAAACTGCTACCTACAAGATTCAATTTCACAGTTAGATTACAAAAAAACAGACAAGATGAACTTCAGACTGGTTGCAGAACTGATAGAAGCGAAATTGATTCTGTATAACCGCAGAAGGACGGGGGAACTGCAAGCAGTAAGGTATGGATCAAAAATAATATAACTGAAGTTATTGATAATAAATTTAAGACAAAAAGATATTATTTTGATTCTAACATTAACAAAATCAGTAAGAACACTAATGCTATTTTTTTTTCAAGCAGAGATTACTTCTGGTGCCATTTTTTTAAAACTCTGTTCAATTTCACACCCTACTGTTCCTTAGATATAGAAATTATTTATATAAAAAAAAAATATTTAAAAAAAATGTTATTTTATCAAACTTTCAACAAATTAAACTTGCCTGCCAGAATGCTTCTTTCCAATTGGTGACAAATTATGAACTAATATTGATCAAACCTAAGGTGGAAGTGTATGTTAGATATTATGTTAGCATTTTATGGGGGCGTCCATGGTCGAGTTGTTAAGGTTGTTAGACTTCAAATCACTTGCCTCTGACCACTGTGGCTTAGAGACATGTCATCAACTTTAGCTTTTTCAGGTGAGAAAGCAATGCAGCAGCTTAAGGAACGTCAGTGGTTCTACTCAGGTGCCTGTCTGTGTCTGAAATAATGTACAGAGGGGCACCTGAGGTCTTCTCCACCAGTAAAGCTGGAAAGTCGCCATATGGCCTTTACTGTGTTGATGTGACGCTAAACCCAAGCAAAAGCTTGGCATATATGAAAAGAAAACATTGTACAAATGGAAAATATCAATAAAAAGGCGTTGAAATTGTTGTCTTAAAAAGAAATTGAGGGAGAAAAAAGCAGCCGCATATACATGTAGTCCTTAACAAGTGTTTTTTTTGACAGTTTATTTCTTCTTTGTGTATAGTGACAAAATCACACAATGAGTTTTAGAATATTATATTGATTTATAAATGAAAATGCATAAGATCATAACACTGCTTAGTTTTTGGTCATTGCCCATGACAGATGAGGTTTGGCTCTGCATGTCATTATTTTATGCTCATTTTTTTTCAAGATTAAGCTATGTTACACTTGTGTTTTAGACTGCAAGACTATGTACGAAGAACGAAGGGTTGTTCTGGGGAATACTTGGTTGGTGAATGCACTGCCTTTGAAAAGCAGTTATTGGAATCTCAGGAAGTCATGACTATACGGGGCAAGGTGATGCTTGTTATTTGTTTCAGAATTCTTATGTCTGTAGAAATGTCTAAACATCATTATTTTGCAAAAGCAGTTCACTGCAATTAATGTCATAGCTGTACTATTAGCATAAATTTTGCATTTTAATATGGAGTTCTTGACACAGGAAATAAATATATATCTTTAACAAGTAACTTAGTAAGTTAACTCTTAATGTAGTTATCACTTACTGTATTTTTAGAAAACTATAATCTTGTCAGCTTTTTTGGTTAATCCTGGAATCAAATTATTTTGGTGTTCCTTTGTTGAAAAATTTTGTACTATTAATTAAATCATTCTTGAAAGTATTTTGTTATGGGTATGGTGAAACACTTTGAAAGTCAAAAATGGTTTTATGGTTTCAGACTGGAAGAGGAGTGCCCGTCATTCTGCCTAGTGAGACAGCTAAAGGTCTTGCCTATCTAACAGACTCAAGAGTTAGGATAAGTGCTGGAGTGCACGCATCTAACCATTACATCTTTGCTTCGCAAGGTATTTTGTCAGCATGAGTAATTTATTCTAAAAGCATTGTGATTCCCTGTTCTTGTTGGTGACAAACAGCCGGATATTTTCATAAGATTGATTTTCATAATTACGTAAAAAAACTTATTGTCTGAAGGTACAACGCTTAGACATTTGATATATAATATCATCTATAATACCGTCCTGACCAAAATTGTTCATTTTTTGCCCCTAGTCTCAAAAATGGCTATGGGGGTCATAGGTCAGAGGTCTGCATGACCCCTCCCTGTGAATGTTACCATTGACCTCGCAAAAAAAAAAAAATATATATATAGATTTTAAGTTGGTGTCCAAATATAAGATAGTCTTGATTAGTAGGTCACTAAACAGTATTGTAGATTTTATGAGTGGTCGAGGAAAATCCGCATAAAGTGTGATTTAGAGGTACATGAAGTGTTAACACATGCATGCCGGCTTCAAATAATAAAGCCATGCTGTTGTGCCCAAAGCAAAAGTAAGGTTTTAAAAAAGACAAGATTCTGTCATGAAATGGAAACTCAGACTGGCATCTGAAAGGGTTGTTATGATGATATGAAGGATATGAAGATATGATTTCTGTGAGGAAAATCATAGAGTGAATCTGACAAGTTTATTGCATGTTTGGATGTCTGCTGTC